GCGCTATGAGACTCTGGGGCCACCCTTACTTTGGTGCAGCCTCACACCGTATCTGCAAAGGCGCGCACCAATAGGACTGTGGCCGTAAGAGTGTCAGGAGGCGCCATCCACAAGTTACCCACAGCCCGGGTACAGTTAAATTGGGGCACCAGAGCCAAGCAGATGGAGGTGGGCATTATGTCTGGACTACCTGCGGATGTTTTGTTGGGGAACGACTTGGGGTGCTAACTTCGCAGCTAATTCACCCCTGGAACCTGCCCCGTGACTACCAGGGCACAAGCCCGCCGAGCTGGACCGACACACTCCGAGGAACCATAGGTAGGAACCGAAATCCCCGTAGCATGCCCTAACCCTATCCCCTTTCTGGGGCACTCCCCAAGACTTTGGCCAAGCCCAGCAGTCAGATACCACCTTAGCAGGTTACTGGAAGGCATTAGGTACTGCTAAGGAAGGTAATGCCCACGAGAACTTCCACTGGGACAAGGGACTGCTATATAGGGCCACATGGGGAGTGGGAAAGGGGGCAGCCCAAGTTATAAAAAGACCCCATGTAAATACAGGGCCAAACTTCTAAAGCTCAGCCATGATATCCCGCTAGCAGGACATCTGGGTATCAAGAAAACTAAGGACCGCCTTACCCAGACGTTCTTCTGGCCAGGGATATCCAAAGATTTGCAGACCTACTGCAGGACATGTGACACATGTCAAAGGATAGAGAAAAAGGGGGCGGGGGAATCACCCTAAGGCCAAGTTATGGTCCCTACCTATAATAGAAGAACCATTCTACAGAGTGGCAGTAGATCTGATAAGGCCTCTCAGCAAACCCAGCTCCTCCGGTAAGCGCTACATCCTCACGGTGGTGGACTACGCCACCAGGTACCTTGAGGCTGTGGCGCTCTCCAACATTGAGGTGGAGACAGTAGCAGAGGCTCTAGTCAGGATCTTTTCCTGAGTAGCGTTCCCCCCGGAAATACTTTCAGACCATGGAACCCAGTTCACGGCAACTGTAACTCAACAGTTGTGGTAGAGCTGCTGGGTAAGACCGTTATTTAGCTCCCCCTACCACCTCCAGACTAACGGTCTCTGTGAACGATTCATTAGCATGCTTAAGCAAATGCTCACAGCATTCACAGAGTCCTACGGTCAATGGGAGAAATTTCTACCTCATCTCCTATTTGCCTACCGGGAAGTGCCTCAGGCGTCCACCGGGTTCTCCCCCTTCGAACTCCTATATGGGAGAAAAGTCTGCGGACCCCTGGACCTCATACGGGAACACTGGGAGGGCAACACAGGAGAGGAAGGGATCTCAGTTTTGCCATACATGCTGGCGTTCCGGGACCGCTTGCAGGCCCTGACCGAATCAGTTCGGGAGAACCTGCAGGCTTTTGTTATATTCGGGAGACTCCGCTGAACACAAATATGAGTGTTATAAATCAGTAAAATGTATCATAATGATGAAATCACCAGTAAAAGTGCAGTTTTTGTGTAGTGGCTACTACAAAAGACTGGACATACCCTATGTTGAATACCGTGGGTTGTCTACTTTTACAAATGGTATGCCATGATGGGGTTAATTTTCATTCCTGGGCTGCTATCCGGTCTCAAAGGCAACATAGGCCCAGCAAACCAATCTGGCAAATTTCAATGTTTAAACATGGAAAAGGGGAAAGCCCAACATTGTAGGTTTGAAAAACCCCATAAAACCTGTACATTGGTAGCACTGTTGTACTCGGGAGATGTTGCTGAACACATATTGGGGTGTTCTTTGTCAGTAACACATAACAGGAACTGAGAATCCATGCCTAAATTACAATGTGAGAGAAAAATAATACAATAAAAATGACTACACAAAAGGTTGACAAAGACTGGTGGTAGAATTAGTGCATGGAAAGTGTTAAAATACCACCATTTGAAATACCCTAGGGTGTCTACTTTTCAAAAATATATGGTTTGAGAGGGGTAAATTACATTGTCCGGCTTCAGAAATTTCCCAAATAGGACATGGGTGGCATGATGACCAGCTGAGAAAACTCCAAGTTGGAAAACTGGAATGCCCACCCTCCAAATAAGGTATTGTATGCCCCACAGAACCCGACACACCTACAGTTGCAAGAAAAAGTATGTGAACCCTTTGGAATGATATGGATTTCTGCACAAATTGGTCATAAAATGTGATCTGATCATCATCTAAGTCACAACAATAGACAATCACCGTCTGCTTAAACTGGTTTGTGTGTTATTAGTTTAAGCAGACTGTGATTGTCTATTGTTGTGACTTAGATGATGATCAGATCACATTTTATGACCAATTTGTGCAGAAATCCATATCATTCCAAAGGGTTCACATACTTTCTCTTGCAACTGTATACATGCGTGGTATCACTGCACTCAGGAAATGTTGATGAACACATACTAAGGTGTTCTTTGGCAGTAACCCTTAAAGTTCTCCATACATGTATGCTTAAAATGCCATGTGTGTCAAAAAAATCACCAATTATTTATTTTTTGTTTAAATTTAGCATATATTGGTGGTAAAATGGTTGCATGAAAAAAGTCAAAATACCCCAAGTTTAATACCTTAGGTTGTCTTCTTTTAAAAAATATATACACATGAAGGGTTATTCAGGGATTCCTGAGAGATATCAGTGTTACAATGTAACGCGTTAATTTTGAAAAAAAGAAAAATGGTTTGAAAATAGTAAAGTGCTACTTGTACTTATAGCCCTATAACTTTCCAAAAAAAGCTAAGAACATGTTAACATTGAGTATTTTTAAACTCAGGACCAAATATAGAAACTATTTAGCATATGTGTTTTTTGGCGGTTGTAGATGCGTAAAAGATTTTGGGGTGAAGGTTTGAAAAGGTGTGTTTTTTTTCAATTTTTTCATCATATTTTATATTGTTTTTATAGTAAATTATATGATATGATGAAAACAATTGTATCTTTAGAAAGATAATTTAATGGCAAGAAGAATGGTATATAATATGTGTGTGTACAGTAAATAAGTAAGAGGAAAATTACAGCTAAACACAAACACCGCAGAAATGTAAAAAGAGCCCTGTGTAAGAATATTAAATAGTTAACTTGTTTATATGTATTTTATGCTTTTATAAGGTTTATAACATGATTATTGCTGACTGAAGGGATATTGAATACTTACATAATATGCTGACTGTGACAGACTAAGGTATTTCTTCTATAGGATGTAAGACAATGCTAAATTTCAGGATGTCTTGCCCATTCCGATTTTAAGGATATTCTTTTCCAGACGTATGCAAAAGCTTATCTTTCCATTGTCAGAATAACGTAATATAAGGAAGTAATAAATCTTATAGTCTGTACTGTATTTGCATATACCATGGCTAATGTAAGCAAACTATGTATAAAAGCCAGCTCTGGAATACACTCATTTGAGAGTCTTGTAAAGCTGTTGTCCGTGTGTTATGCTTACAATGATTCTCCATCAACGTTGATTATGGTGACCGAGGGATCGAGAACCGAGGGGATTAGAGTCCATTACAACATTAACCCTTTCAGCTTGGTGTCTAGAAGTGGGATAGAAGTTGGATCAGCAAAACCATTTGCGGTGAGTAGCCTTTTTGTGTCTTATTTGACGCTGATTGTCTATGACCCCCTTTGGTTCAGTAAGTCTGTATCCAGTAGATAGGAAAGGTGTAAGGACTCTAGTTATATTGAGACTATAAGAGGTCTCCGGTTTATTAGACATTTGGTCTAAATATATATAGGGGTTCTTGGTAACCCAGGTTAGTATCTAAGATAGATACAGGTTTTTGAGACCATAAGAGGTCTCCGGTTTATTATAGGGTTTTGGTAACCCAGGTTAGTATCTAAGATAGATACAGGGTATCTCAGGTAGATACAGGTTTTGAGACCATAAGAGGTCTCCGGTTTATTAAGTCTATAGGTGTTCTGAGCAGCACGGTTTGTAGATCTATAAGTATAACCCAAACTTCTCTTTCTCCCGGTCACCTTTGTTTGTCTTAAGTGTTTTTTGTGGGTGATTGTTTGTCTATATTGGGGACACACTTTGGTAAGTTAGTAGTGTCCCCACTCTGAGTCAGCAGTATGGGAAATGTGAGTTCATGTCCTGAGTGACCAATATATGTACATGTATATGTGTGTGTATGTATATATGTGTATATGTATGTATATATGTGTGTGTATATGTATATGTGTATATATAAGATAGCAGTACTTTTAAACAAATGGAGGTTTTAAAAATACATAGGGATTAAGGAGAGAACGCAGGTAACTTGTTTTTCTTTGGTTTTTACCATATATTGGGGCTGATGTGTACTGTAGTCCTTGCTGCTGCCCAGTAGTGATGGGAGTGAGCGCAGGACTTATCTTTCTGCAAGATAGCAGTACTGTATATTAGAAAAGAAATGACTCATAGGTTGTACCTGATAGACCTACTTAAATCTTTTTGCTTTATTCTTTCTGTCGCATAGAAGTATAAGTTTATTACTCTGTTTTATTGTAAGTTATTTCACATGGGATCTATGTGCCTGGTATGATTGTTGCTTTAAAAATACTATAAGCCCACTACACTTATTATGAGAGTGGGATAGTGTAAATGTGTTGCATTGTTTGCATGATGAGCTCAGTATATTTTATAACTGAGACAAAAAGTCACTTCATTAGTATTTGAAAGTTAATTCCCCATATGGGATTAATTGTATAGAAACACCAATCAGCACATCTTCCCTGCCCTGTGTGTTTGTTGCAAAGGATCCATACTGTAAATATAATTTTTGTTTGAAAATAACAGAGCAACATTTACATTTTCAGCGGTCCAACACATGCTTTATTTTGCACTGTAAACTAACCTTTTTATTGCAACAGGTTCCTTTTAAATGATCCAGTGTAATAACTACTGCTTGTGTCTTCTATGTCTCACATTATGTGTTCTTTTAAATTGTGGTATATAGCCTGGATCAGAAATCATGGACAAAGGTTTTTTACCTGTGTTACTAAGGGCTCTTGGAGACTGACCGGTCTAAAGGTTTGCCATGCCTTTAAAACATGGTATAGTATAAATTTTTAAGTCTCTGAGAGTTCTGAAAGATTCAGGTGAAACCATGTCTGTTTAATCTGGTCCAGATGTTTGTTCAATTTCTGTAAGATTTAAGTTGATGCAGCATCATCTCAGATTAGTTAATGGTAGTTTTATACAAATAGTTGAGTTATGAGCGCGCTATATAAATGGATCCTTTCTTTATATACAATACTATAGTAGATTAAAGTAATGAAGTTAATTAAGAAAATGTACACATAAGAATCCCTAAAATAAATCTAAACTAAAATTGGTATACTTTCCAATAATATGTTCTGAATACAGCTGTTAACTGTTTATTCTGTGTAAATGGTGATTGTGATAATGTGTGAAGTGTGCAGTTTAACTTGAAAGTGGTTTAATTTATGTTGCTGTATTGTTTTAAATTATATGTGAATCAGTTTGTCACAGTCTAGTGATACTGATAAGAATGACAGCCAAATAACCTAGCAAATAACTGTTTTATTAGTTGTTGAATACTAGCGTTTTGGCCAAGAATAGTTGGAGATTTGGAGGTGTTAGTTTAAGATTGCTTTTATATTGTGTCTATCCGTGTTTCCTAGGAGGGAGACAGAGTGTGTAGTTGTGTGCCCATAAATGTGATTTCTGTATTGGCATATCTGCTGGGTACCCATTATGTGTTTTTACAAAGATATTGTTTTGTGAGATGACGTGTAATATTACATTGGATGCTGAGTATGAGTTATATGGTTTGAAATGAATTGGTGATTATGAGCTTAGTACTTCAGTATGATGTGCTAAAATTTGGAACAAGGTGGAAGCTGAAATGTTGGGATTATGGAAGAATAAGCAGTCTATATTCACTGCTTTGGCATATAAGCAGGATGCAAAGGAAGAGATTGGTAATATGATTTTTCTAAAGAAATTTTACAAGTGTTGGAAGGATGAGGCAGGTTTGATGTCTGGAGATGATATGGATCTCCTTAAAATACAGTCATGCCTTGGTAATATGTTGCCACAGTATTCTTTGCTTGTGAAACAATTGATTTCAGACTGGGCCAATTTGGATAGCTCAGATTTTCTTACCAAGGTTATAGAAAAGGAAAATGCAGGTTGTTTTGACTTAAGAAAAGATTTAGGAAAGTAAGGTTGCTTATTATGCTCAGGGATTGCAACATATTATGTCCAGCTACACAGGCTGAGAGCGAGGATGGGATGGAGCACATAAAGCCCGCGGAAGGGGTGGTCAAAGAGGAGCAAGGGGATGGAGACAGGGAAATCAGGGTTATAGGGGCAGGGGTAACCAAGGAGGAATAGACAGGAACACTTGTTTCAACTGTGGACAATATGGCCACTGGAGGAATGAGTGTCCACATCCCAGGAAACCCCAGGAAACCCCACACACCCCAACAACCCCACAATTCTCAAAATATGCCCTGTAGGCAAGAACAACACCAGACCCACTCCCAACACCACTGGCCAGCATATCCCTTAGTACAGGACTTTAGAGCCCTGAATAGTTTAATTGTGCCCATTTCACCCATTGTCCCTGATGTGACATCCCTCATTACAGCCATTCCACATGATGCCACTTGCTTCACTGTCATTGATTTAAGTAATGCATTTTTTCTATACCTATTGATCAAGAGACACAGCTACTTATGGTTTTTACTTTTTGAAGGCTGTCAGTTTACCTGGACACGCTTACCCAAGGCTATGTGGATTCCCCAGCTGTTTATTCGTTGGTACTCCAACATACTCTAAAAAACATGGACCACCGGTCATGGTTCCGTCCTTTTTGCAAAATGTTGATGATTTGTTGTTATGTAGCCCTAGCTATGAGGCAAGCACTGTGGATACTGTCAGCAACTGTAGGTCACAAGGTTGTTAAACACAAAATGCAATTGTGTAAATCAAAGGTTGAATACTTAGGTTTTGTTCTGGCTTTAGGCACCAGACAATTGAGTCCAAAACGTATTGAGGTCATTCAGAGGATTCCTACACCCACTATTCGGAAGGAGTTGCTCACCTTCCTCGGCATGATTAATTACTGCCACCATGGATCCCTGAATGCTCCCATTATGACTCAATCCTAAGGGAGGCTGTACGTTCTGACAGCCCTGAAAATGTCTGCTGGTCACCAGACATGCTAGCTGCATATATTGCCCTTACAGTTGTTATTGTGCAAGCCCAGGCTTTAGGACTACCTGTGTATTGTAAACCATTTCATTTGTATGCTTGGGACAATTGTAAAACCATGGCCGCGGTCTGTGCACAAGAGCAAGGAGGCGGTATGCGTCCCATAGCATTCTTTTCCAAAGTAGTTCAAGCTCCGGTACAGGGTATGCCGGCGTGTCTCAGAGCATTGATAGCATGTGCAATGGCTGTTGAAACTGCTACTACTATCACACTAGGGCATCCTACAATACTTCATGCCAGTCACCAGGTCACTCAGCTGATAATAAATATCACCATACAACACATGACAGCCCAGCGCTTCAGTGGTTATGAGATTCTTTTTTTAATACCCAGAATCTGTCTTTTGGATTAAACAAGGTTTAGAGAAAGATCAAAATGATCTGTTCTCTAAAGAGGGGAGAATAGGCATACTTGAAGAATAGGCATACTTGAAGCAAGCTGATTTATTTTCATCAGTCAGGCACATAGCAAGCACCATTCAATTCCTCATGAATTCATTTTATATTAGGAATCTCAGGCAGCATGTACAGTCTTTTGTAAGATCGTGTGAACGCTGCTCTTTTTACACACTTACAGATTGATTTTATTCATGTATCCAAAATTGGTAAGAAACAGCAATACTTACTGGTCATAGTTAATCAGTTTAGTAGATGGCATGAGGCCTTTGTGATATCTAGGGAAGATTCTAGTGAAGATTATTGTTACTGAAATTATTCCCAGGTATGGCTGCCCTCTCCAGATTGGCTCTGATAATGGCCCGGTTTTTGCCAGTAAGGTTGCCCAGGAACTTGCTAAATTCTTGCAAGTTACCTGGCAGTTTCATATACCCTATCATCCACAGAATACAGGGGTAGTTGAAAGGATGAATAGGACTATTAAGGAAAAGCCCAGAATTTACCCAGGAACATGGGTAAATTGGACTAGATATCTACCAGCTATTTTAGCTGAGATAAGAATATATCCCCACAAGGTGAATTGTTGATAAAACCGAATGGTATGTATGACAATGTTTCTTCGCAGTTTTCCCTTACCTTCACAGGAACCTACTCATTCATACCAGCCCGGTGACAAGGTGTATATCCGTCAGTTGAACAGGACCAAGAAAGGAGGATACCCTTTTGGACCACCTGCTACTGTGATTGCTGTACCCAGAACCGCTGTCCTCACAGATTCCCACGACATCTGGATTCACGCATCCCGAGTGAAGCTGTGTCCAAAGAGGGGAACCAAGGAAGACAACACCACTCCTCGCTCGGAAACAGAAGAATTTCTCCTCAGCGAAGCATCATGGCTTTTACACCATATCGTAGATTGAGAGGATCATACGTACCTGAGACCAAGATTATGTTGTGTGCTATGCTTTCTGGAGTTGTTATACTCCCTCTGATATTGTTCCTTGAATGCCATTATGAGTACAAGTCAATGGCAAGTTCTGGAAAAAGACTCTGACATGATGAACAATTCTTCAATACCCCCAGCCCAATTAGGCCTTAGCCCCTCATCTAGCATTCGTCACACACGCCCCCTCAAGAACCTTTCTCCATCACCTTTCTATCAGCATGTAATTTGCAATCATTCATTCACTGAACGCATTTGGATGAATTGGACAAATAGTAACCCTTATAAGTACCAGTTACCCATATGAAATGTGTCTACAGCTAATGAAACCGATGCATTATGTTTGTTTAAAGGTTCACAGAAAATTGTTAGATCTTATAACGCAGAAATGTGCACAGTTAAGGTTGCATATCAATGTAAACAGACATGCCTTATTACTTTTAATAATGATTATATAACTGGTATCATTAATTGGAAAAGGGGACAAATGTTAGTCATTATGAACGACACTGCAATTGAGAACTATACACTACCTTATATTTTTACACCTTATTACTGTCCTTCATCCACTATCATAGAACCAAAAGTCAAACACGACACACACACACACCTATTCCGTCCACATGTGTTAATACAACTGCCTTCTTACAAGCTGTACATGTGTCATTAAAAGTCACTACTCTTGTTGTAACATTATGTAACACAGCAAACAAAAGGCAGAAAAGGGAATGGTATGACACACTGTTAGATGGTGCTGGAACCACTATGGGTATACTAAATAGTTATAGATATGGAGACCCTCAAGAATAAGTTAAACACAGCCAGCATGCATATAGGGACTGGTTTCCATGCTACTGCAAATTGGGCTCCAATTGTTGTTAAATCACAGGTTATAGGATTGGATTTAGATAAATCAATGTATAATTATTTAGATAATTTAACTGTTGCAACTATGAAATTCACTACAGGTCTAAGTAACTGGAGTACTTGTGCCATCAGGTATTTATGGATACAACAACAAGGATTGGCATTAGAAAACACACTAATGATTCCTAAACTAGAGAAGATTAGAGGGATGCTTAACCTCACAGATAATGAATGGTTACTTCTAAAACCCCAATCCAGTAAATGCAATGGATGGTTAACTGGTAATGTTTCACATTTTTCATGCTCATGTTATTTTACATTATATCATACATCAAAGGATGTTAAATTAGCTTGTCAATTTAACACATTACCAGTACCAGTTTATTATCTTTTTGCCAAGAATTTAACCTGGTGGGCACCCACATACACAGGGGACTATATTTTTCCCAAAGATAACATACACAGGTAGCCACACATATCCTAAAAGGAGAACTCCTTAAGGTGAGTTCACAAATTCAGAATGATTTAGCCCATCATTGGTACAATGCTTTACTGGTTGGTCCCCTACTGGATCTCAGATAATGAAATCATTCTTCTATCATTTTGTTATTATAGTCCTGATTTTATTGTGTATGATTTTATATAACTGTCACCTTAGTTGTACATTGAGGAAGAGAGTACAGAAATTAATCCATAATGCAGAACAGAAACAATTAAAAATTCTCCTCTCTGCCACTGTAGGGTATTAACCCATCTTTAAACTGGGCCTTAGGAATTACCACATGGGAATCGAGGTGAATAAATTAATGAAAGTCCCGCAGGGAGTGACTAGCACCCCTGAAAATACCATGTGGATGTTTCTCTGTCCTGGTAAGATTTTATCGATAAGATGAGCAATTGTTTTATTGCTCAAAGAGGGGAATGTAAGAATATTAAATAGTTAACTTGTTTATATGTATTTTATGCTTTTATAAGGTTTATAACATGATTATTGCTGACTGAAGGGATATTGAATACTTACATAATATGCTGACTGTGACAGACTAAGGTATTTCTTCTATAGGATGTAAGACAATGCTAAATTTCAGGATGTCTTGCCCATTCCGATTTTAAGGATATTCTTTTCCAGACGTATGCAAAAGCTTATCTTTCCATTGTCAGAATAACGTAATATAAGGAAGTAATAAATCTTATAGTCTGTACTGTATTTGCATATACCATGGCTAATGTAAGCAAACTATGTATAAAAGCCAGCTCTGGAATACACTCATTTGAGAGTCTTGTAAAGCTGTTGTCCGTGTGTTAATGCTTACAATGATTCTCCATCAACGTTGATTATGGTGACCGAGGGATCGAGAACCGAGGGGATTAGAGTCCATTACAACATTAACCCTTTCACCCTGGTCCTTAACGGTTGAAAAAAAATTGAAAAATGGTCACTAAGGGTTTAAAAGGTTAAAGAAACAAAATAATTTTTTCTGTAATTTGTCTTTAGTCATGTTTTAGAATTTTCAATGTTTGGCCCATGTGAACTTCTGTTAACCCCAGCCTTTTCTCTTTGATAGATTTTATAAAACTTCAGAACAATAAGCAGATCATATAATACTGTATATTGTACTACCTTCTGTTTGCTTCCACCCCCTTTCCTTTCTCTCTTCCTTATTTCCATAATTACTGTCCTGATCCATGCATGACTTTCAAACAAATAACTCAACACCTAGTTAATTGGTTGTGCAAAATGCTAAATATTACATTTCCACTTTAAAAGAATACTATAGCGTTAGGAATACAAAACATGCAAGGTAAGCTCTTAACGCACATTAGGAAAGTATTAAATCAGTGATTTCCTGGGCATTTTCAAGATGCTGGACATACTCATATAAAGTGTGAGGATGTCCAGCATTGTTTCACTGAGTTTACATTGCAGGGTTAACAGGTCAAGGACATTGTAACCATACCACATCAAGGAGGATGTTAATGTCCCTTTAAGGTTGATGGTGCATGGCAGCTTATTCAATTCTAAGATTAGTTGGTTTGCCACATGTGTGTTTTAAGATAACCAAAGAAACACAGTTGAATGTGAAACACTTTATCAGAATTAAAGAAACATAAAACATATTTTTATGCATTTTTTTCTCTAGTCATAACCCAGATGCTAAAAAAGTTTCAACATTTTAGATGTGTGGTTCAGCTAGGGTTTCTCTGGCCATCAGCTTTTTGTTTTTATCTGATAGTTTTTACAAAAATACAATAAACAGATGATATAGGATTGTATATAGGATAAAATATGTAATTAAAACGTACAAATATTTTTCAAACATACAAATAAATACAATATATATAAGGTAAAGGACCAGGGGAAATTTTAGTTTTGTGCTTAGGCAGCTGACACTATAGAGAACATATTATGCAATAATGGTAGATGAAAGGTTAGACCTTTTCATGTGTCTACAGTAGAAAAACATCACAATATTTGGCTTATTAATTTGCTCAAATTTACATATTTCCTGTATAAAAGTTGGTTTGATGCAACAAGTGTTAACTTAGCTAGAGATGTCTGTTTTATCCCACATTTCATGAAAACAAATCAAATTATAAGAACAAATTATAGAATTATCCACAGATGAATCTTGTGGAATTTCTTTTCAGCGAATTGATTGGATTGTGTTTGAATGGCTTTTACTGCCATTGCAGTGATGCCAACTCGTCAATAAGAAACAAGTTATATATAGGACACACTGTTACAGACAATATATATATAAAAAAAAATATATATATATATATAATTGAAACATACAATGAGGATATGCTTTGCTGGAAAGTTATGGGAGGGTAAACAACTTGCTATAATTTTCTATGCAGAATACACTGGCGTACATACCCGGTGCGACCCGGTATGTACGCCCAGGGCCAGCCTCTTCCCCTGGGGGGCCCAGGAGCCGACCACCCCAGGGCCCCCCTGAGGCTGGCCCTGCTGACCCCGGGTGGCCGGTCGGGCAGGCGGGCGCGCGAGGGAGCACTCTGTGCTTCCTCTTCAGCTCCCTCGCGCACCGCAATGATACCGGAGCCGGAAGATGACGGCATCCCTACGCTGCCGCGAGGGGAGCTGAAGAGTAAGCACAGAGTGCTCCCTCGCGCGCCCGCCTGCCCGACCGGCCACCCCCCCGCCCAGCACCACTGGACCCCAGGGAATCCCCCCAGCACTCCAAAAGGTAAGAAGGCTGGGGGGATTAAATTAAAAAACAAAACAAAAAAATCATGTGTGAGTGTTAGAGTGAGTGTTAGTGTGTGTGAGTGTTAGTGTGTGTGAGTGTTAGAGTGAGTGTTAGAGTGAGTGTTAGTGTGTGTGTGTGTGTGTGAGTGTTAGAGTGAGTGTTAGTGTGTGTGTGTGTGTGTGTGTGTGTGTGAGTGTTAGAGTGAGTGTTAGTGTGTGTGTGTGTGAGTGTCTGCTAGTGAGTGTTAGTGTGTTAGTGTGTGTGTCTGCTAGTGAGTGTTAGTGTGTTAGTGTGTGTGTCTGCTAGTGAGTGTCAGTGAGTGTGTTACTGTGTGTGTCTTACTGAGTGTGTGTGTGTTAGTGAGTCTGTTTGATGTCTGTTAGTGAGTGTGTGTCAATGAGAGTGTATGTTTTGTAAGTGAGTGTGTATGTATGTCTGTCGCTGACTGTGTCTTTGTCAGTAAATGTGTGTGTCTGTTAGCTAGTGTGTATGTGTGTGTGTGTGTCTTCAGCACTTACCTTTCTCCAGCGCCGGACTCCCTTGGCGCTGAGGATCCCTCAGCCTCTCAGCTCCGAATGCGACCGCGCACGCATTCAAACCGCCCATAGGAAAGCATTACTCAATGCTTTCCTATGGACGTTCAGTGTGCTCCTCTAGCGGCTGTCAGTGAGACAGCCACTAGAGGCTGGATTAACCCTCAGTGAAACATAGCAGTTTCTCTGAAACTGCTATGTTTTCAGCTGCAGGGTTAAAACTAGAGGGACCTGACACCCAGACAACTTAATTGAGCTGATGTGATCTGGGTGTCTGTAGTGGTCCTTTAAAGGACCACTATAGTGCCAGGAAAACATACTAGTTTTCCTGGCACTATAGTGCCCTGAGGGTGCCCCCACCCTCAGGGACCCCCTCCCGCCCGGCTCTGGAAAGGGGTAAAACTTACCTTTTTCCAGCGCTGGGCGGAGAGCTCTCCTCCTCCGATCCTCCTCTTCTCCTCCCCGTCTGCTGTATGCGCACGCGCGGCAAGAGCTGTGCGCGCATTCAGCCGGTCACATAGGAAAGCATTCATAATGCTTTCCTATGGACGCTGGCGTGCTCTCACTGTGAAAATCACAGTGAGAAGCACGCAAGCGCCTCTAGCGGCTGTCAATGGGACAGCCACTAGAGGAAATAGGGGAAGGCTTAACCCATTCATAAACACAGCAGTTTCTCTGAAACTATGTTTATGAAAAAATGGGTTAACCCTAGCTAGACCTGGCACCCAGACCACTTCATTAAGCTGAAGTGGTCTGGGTGCCTAGAGTGGTCCTTTAAGTGTGTGTGTGCATCTGCATGCACTGGCGTACATACCGCGGTCGCAGGGGTCGCAGCCCCCTGGGGGGGGAGGGGGCCCACGGATCAATTTTCGCACTGGGGCCCCATGGGTCATGTGTACGCCACTGGCAGAATATGTACCTACAGCCCCATGGGCAGTTGACTAGATTGAAATAATATTATCCACTAGTGATAGATGAGAAGACAGACCTTTAGTTTTGTTTTCTGCATTTCGTGTGTCTACAGTAGAAAAGCTTCTTAATGACTTGTCTTCTTAATTTCCTCAAATTTACCTATTACCTGCAGAAAAAATAGTTTGATGTAACAAAGGTTTACATAAATACATCTGTTTTACCACACCAAGACAAATAAAAACCTACAAGTAAACACAGGTAAATCTTATAAAAGGGTAAATATCCATGGATCAATTTGAAAATGAGATTTAGAGAATTAGACAGCAACATGCCATGAACTGGAGAACAATGCCAAGGTTATGCACAAAAGTGAAAATTAGCAGACGTTCAAAGTGAATTTAAAGTGAGTTTCAAATTTAAGCAGACGTTCAAAGTGAATTTAAAGTGAGTTTCAAATTTAAGGTAAAAATAGCTGAACAAACTGGAAAAAGGCAGCTATGCTTCCAGTTTTGGGTACTTTGAAATTCACTTTGAATTCACTTTGACTTCTCAATTTAAACTTAACCATAAGTAACATTTTTACAAAATTCCCTACAATGAAGATATGGCAGAATTTTACTAAATTAATTCTAAACTCATTAACTTGGACTCTTCATTAAGATTATAAATATGTTATATTGTTGGGGTGCTTTGTGTTTTAGTAAACCGGCAGAACACGAGCATGTCAACCAGTTTCTTACCAAGTTTATAATTTCCTTTTATGAGAGTCAGAGAGCTCGAGATGTAAAAAATGCACATTGTAATAACACCAAATTGTTGCAAAAGAAAACGTTTGCCTTCATGAATAACCATTATGGTGGCAGTGAAATAAACAACATTCTGAACAAGGAGGGAGGTCACAAATTTGGCTCCTCGGAGGTGAGGTCCTAAATTAGGTCTAAGACCTACATCTTTTCCTTTCATGTTCTTTATGTGTCTAAAGAGAGATGCAATGATTATCGAAGCTGAACTACAAAATAGTAAAAATGCCACAGAACAATATACATTATTTATTTTCGATAGTGTACTTTCTATCTCTGATGTAAAAACAGTTCTGTTTGATTGTGTAGTTTCTATTTCTTTCCATGCCAAAGGAAGAGCAAAAAAGAAAGTTACAAGTACAGTTTGAAAAATAATCATCCGATGAATCTTGAAGAATAGATTTTGGAAATAAATATAGATATTAATATTGATGTTAACGATTTTCAGACAGAAGTGTACACTGAGCCAGGTGTAGAACCAAATGTTGCAGGTTATTGAAGCCACATACAAAACTGAACTAAGGACTCTAATACCTACGGACATCATATATGTGTCTTGATATAGCATAGCAGAATAATACATGATGTTAATTAGTATATTTGTAAGGGTGGCTATGCTGATGCCAAATATAAGCTGGTCTGTTAACGGAAGTCTTCTATATTTTATCCAATCCAAGAGGTTCACAATAAGAATGAACATGCTCCAAGGAGCTGAAGTTACAAAAAAAAAACAGATCAAGGTGTAGTAGGATAATCTCGGTGATATGGAACATCTTTATATGTACAGATATCTTTGGTAACTTGTAAATTACAAGATCTGCCACAATCAAATGCAGATTAAGTATGTCTTCTTCCAGCACTCTCAAATATACTAATATGACTTCTTCTCCAACACACAATCACATAATCTATTTTGTCTGCAATTTGATTTGATTTGGGTACCATGCAAATCTAATGTTTTGCAAATGTGTTGTATATTTACTATACAAATAGGATGAAATGGAAAAAAAGAAGCACATACTCTTTGTTCAGCTGTAAAGGGACCCTCTGAGTACCAAAACAAATTTAGAAACTGTCATGGATATCGTGTTTTGCCATATCCTTGAAAATATTTCTCAGTAGTTACTTATTTCCTGAAGAGATCTTTTCATTTAGATAATGGGTGACTCCTTTACTTTTGTGATGGGTAAATGCAGGTATAAAAATGGCATATTGTATTCCTTTAAATGGTTGAATGTGTCTTTAATAAATTACCTCTTACCCAGATTCAGTGCACAAGATGTTTAGACTGTAAGATGCCATCTTATCCTAGATTAATGTGACTTCAAGTCTTTTTAAAGTCATGTTCAGCCTTACATTTAAGTGCAAAAAAAATATTAAGATGTCTAGGTTGTGACAATAGATGTATTCCTCTAATTTTTACATGGAAACTGCTTTTAACCCCCTAAGCAGGGGCAGACTAAGCACTCAGGATAATCGATCCCCTGCTGTAGTGCAGTAATGGCTGAGCTGGGAAGTTCAGCATGCTCCCCAGCCAGCCTGCACTCAGTTAGGGGCACACAGAGCCTTCAATGGGCCTCTGCTGCTAAAAATATAATTCCCCTTGCAGGGCACACTGAGGGACAACTAAAGGGCCTTCCCAAAGACTCCACAAGGCTGCCCTTCCATGTGCCTGTCTCAGTGCACACAGCCACACTGAGCTGCCTGTAACACTGATCAGGGCAGCTCCATATAGGGCCGGCGCTTCCTATAAGGTGAACTAGGCAGCCGCCTAGGGCGCCATATAGGAGGGGGTGCCCTGCACCCCCATCGCCGGCCCTTTAAATGCCACAGCCGCCTGAGCGCTCTATAGAGAGCGCTCAGATGGCTGCTACACTGCCTCACCTCCCCTTCCCTGTAGCGTGGCCGAGCTCCTTTCCGGTCCGCGACCCGGCCGGACTGAGTGTGCACTTCCTGTCAGTCCGGCCGGGTCACGGACCGGATAGGAGCTCGGCCATGCTACAGGGGAGGTGAGGAGAGGATTACAGGTGAGGGGGGAGAAGATTATAGGGGGGGAGATTATGGGGAGGGGGAGAAGATTATAGGGGAGGGGGGAGAAGATATGGGGAGAAGATTATAGGGAGGGGGAGAAGATTATGGGGGAGGAGGGGAGAAGATTATAGGGGAGGGGGGAGAAGAGAGAAGATTATGGGGAGGGGGGAGAAGATTACACTATGTTGGTTGTTGTTAAATATAGGGGGTTGTCCAGTTGTTATCCACTATCTAGATGACTTTCTAACAGTAGAAAAACCCGAGTCTGTCCCACTGAGCATTACTAAAACTGTGGCACTATTTGCTACTCTCGGAGTGCCAGTTGCCTTGGACAAAACAGTGGGGCCCGTCACTAAATTGTCTTTCCTTGGGATATGCCTAGACTCGGTTACCATGCAGGCTAGCCTCCCCGCAGACAAGGCTCAGAGAATCAGGACAGAGATAGACCTGTTTCTCAACAGAGGTACTACCAACCGGAAAAACCTACAGTCTCTACTTGGTTCTTTGCAATGAGAATTATTCCTCAAGGACGCTCGTTCATATCTAGGCTACTCAGCCTACTACCCAAATTACCTAATGACCTCAGCACAGTCACTCTCAACCAACATGCCAGGTAAGACTTGGCTATGTGGAGACAATTCTTGTCTCAGTGGAATGGCATAAATATGTTCATTCCACCATGGACAGAGGTTTCCCCAGTATTATGGACTGACACAACAGCCCACTCAGGGTACGTAGCCATTTTTGGCGACAGGTGGTTTAGAGGCACATGGCCAGTCGAGACTACTTCATTACCCTTGTTTAATACCACTTCCACACTGTTTGAATAAACCCTTAGTTGCTGCTGCTAAAGTCTGGGGATACCTTTGGAAGGGACAAACCATCAAATGATACACCGACAATGCAGCCACATGCGAGATTATCAACAAAGGCAGGTCTTCCACTTTTACCATAATGAGGTTAATCAGGAGACTAGTGTGGTTGGCAGCCACTCTACACTTTCACCTCACGTGCGAGCACATACCGGGCCACCACAACACCGCAGCTGATGCCCTGTCTCGCTCTAATTTTCAGGTGTTCCGTCAAGAACATCCCACAGCCGAGATAGACCCATACAATCCTCCGCTATTCCAGCACCTCATTCTGGACTGAATGCACTCATGGCACACGGCAGAATGCTAACGCAGTCAGCACTCGCTGCAAACACCAGACGTTCATATAACCGACC